AACATTACAGTATACTGTATACAGTATGTACAATAAAAAGGGTTACGAACACTTTATATACAGTATATAATGTATACAGTATATATATATATAACTCATAGGCCCCCCCCCCCGATAGTCCGGCATATCTGATAATCTGGCACCCCCTGGGTCCTAAAGGTTCCAGATTATCGGAAGTTTACTGTACTGCTATTGGCAGAGGTTCCACTACCTTGTATATACTTGCATCTTTGATCATGCTGCATATTTAAGTATTTGTATATTAAAAGCAGATTCTTGTTTAAAGTTGCACTAAGTTACCTAATCCCTTTTTTATACTTTATTTTGTGTTTAGAACAAAGTATACCAGTTCTGCAGCAGAACTTGTTCTGATGATTATAAGAAACTCAACTGCATAGTTACATACTGTGAATACTGCCAAGAGGAGAAAACACTGCATGAAATGGTGAATTTCTCTGGTATCAAAAGGCCATTCTGTAGTGAAGGTACGTATTTTTCTTTCTGGTATTCATCTCATTGTATTATTACTGTAGTCTCTTTACTTTTGCTTTATAATATTTCACATTAAAATATGTATGTATTACTATCTATATCCATCTATCTGTCTATATATAAATACTATCGTATTAACTTATGCAGCAGTATTTGAGCTGGGACAAGGTTCTCTCCTCTCCCTCCGCACATACCCTTCCCCCCATGTGAATGGACCTATTGAAACCCTGAGAAACTCCCATGAATTCCATTCTGTTGAGTTTTGGCATTGCTTGCCTCAGGTTGAAGAAGACTAGGCCAAGACTTCTGAAAGCCCTTCAGTGCTCTATCCCTTCTCCATCAAGAAAGGTTGCTTTTCAGACCTGTGTCAATGTGCCTAGATTCCTATACGAAGACTGAATAAGCTTTCTGTTCAAAAGGGTGGATAAAATGTGGTGATTTAAAAATAAATAAGTTGGCCATTTTTATTTAAATTAAATGCAGGTTTATTTTTAAAATAAATTTATTTAAATCTAAATTTGAAATTGATGATCTGTGTTAATGCCTAAAATGATAATCTATTAATATTGTTAGCAATAAATACAAAAAACAAGATAATCATATTTGGTGCCAAATTTCAAAGAAAGTAAAACCACTGAAGTAATGGAAGTCACTGGCTAAGCACCTGGAATCAGAATTTGCTGAAGTACAAATCCAGCTTTTGACAACAGCATTGTCTTATGCAGAAGCAAAGGGAATATTCTCCTTCTTTGTTTATTTAACTAATTCCTATTTGACTCATTTATTCATAGCTGAGAAATCAGTTGGGTATTGAAATCTTGTTTTCATCTTCTTGTTTGTGAGTAAAATGTAGATGTGAGAGGATGAGAGCTACTACAAGTTGGACCTCCCTGGTCTGGCAACATTGGGGGCTAATGATAGAATTTTCTGGACTAGGGGAGGTGTCCCTTGCCACCAGCCCTGAGCCAGCTGGCCCTCTGCCTTTGGCCCTCTCTATTCCCCCCCTCCTGCCCTGCCAGGCTATGTGCCCTGCTGCTCCCTGCCCTGGGCGTCCAGGGTTCTCCAGCTCCACACTGCTGCAGTTCCCTGGCCCTGTACTGCTACGGGCAGCAGGGATTCTCCAGCTCCTGACTTATCACTGCTGCGATTCCTTGGCCCTGTGTTGCCATGGGAGCCAGATTTCCACAGCTCCGTGCTGCTGCAGACGGCTGGGGGTGTCTGTCCCTGTGTTGCCGTGGATGGCCAAACTTCTTCTTTCCCTCCCCTGTGCTGCTGTGAACTACTGGGGTTTTCCGTCCCATCCCCCGCACTTTTGTGGGGCTCCATTCAGCAGTCCCTGGCCAGGCTGCTGGCCCTCCTACCTTTAGTCTCCTGGGCTCTCTGGTTCAAGAGCATTAGTGGTTCTACCGGATCAAGGATGTTGCCAGACCAGAGAGTACTGGTTTTCAGAGATTCCACCTATAGTTATAAAATCTTGATAAACATGGCAGCTGGAAACAGTTCTGTTTACTAACTATAGAGAATAGTTTTTATTTACTAAATCATTTGGTTTTAAATGCAGAGTACTTTTTCTATAACTCTTTTTCTTATATATCCTGAACCTTTAAGGTATTGTAGTCTTATTTAATAATAATTTAAAAATTAAATGTTGTTTTTGTACATTAGTTTGAATTTAAATTTCTATCTAAACACAAAGCTTGACACAAATCATAAGTAAAAAATTAATAATTAATGAATGCTAAATTCATAATTTATCATCTAACATCATAAAAATATAATAATCAATAATCTGAATCTGTATAAAAGTAAGTTTAAGGTGCATAATTGGTTAAATGTATATAGAATATAGATTATCTTCGTGTTTAGCAAAAAGAAGCAACAAATTTAGTACAAAGGAGCATGTTTTAATGGTTGTCAGTTGATGAAAATCAATCTTACTTTGGGAAAATAACTAATACAAATGAAAACTGTTTAATTTATTTTATGGTTTTCTGATATAAATCATTGTTAAATATGGTAATTTAAATTTGATTTAAATCAATCCACCCTGTTGTTCAGACTTTTGAAAGAAGAAAAACACATGAAAGGTGAGGTAATCTCTTTGATTGGACCAACTTCTATTGGTGGAAGATAAAAGTTGTTGAACTTCAGAGAGCTCTTTTTCTTCCCTCTGGAGTTCTAAAGCTTGTACTTTCCACCAACAGAAGTTGATCTAGTAGAAGATGTTGCTTTGCCTACTAGGGAAATAACAGTGTAGTCCGGTGTTTCCCAATTTTATTTGGCCGAGGAACCCTTTTCAGAATTTCAAAGAACCCCAAGGCTTGTCAAGGGGGGGGGGAAAGGTGGAGGGCGGGGGAGGAGAGAGGGACCCACCAATTCATGAAAATCACATTCTTTCCCCAAGACCCCTCCCCCCCCCCCCC